GCAGATGGCCCCTTTATGTTACTTGCTTTTTTTCCTTTTTATTGAGTGTGAAGAGGGTGTGTAAATATAAAAAATGAGTCATATTAAATATTGTTCTTTTTCGTTCTGGAGGTGTCCAGACTACTCAACAAAAGCAAGTGGGAAGGAAAGATGAAAATAAATATCAAAATTGTAGCTTACTGTTGTCTGGAAGTTTGGTATTTAAGAGCATTGAAAACATCGGTACAGCATTTTATTTCGTACCGCGTCTCGATTACATATGCCCGACAACAATCATCATCATCATCATCATCGTCACCATCGACATCACACTAACCGTCATGGAATGCACAACGAACTGCTCGGTGTCCATTCTGAAGCCGGTAGACTAGATGCAGTGCTAATGCATCGTCCAGGACGAGAACTCGAGCGTCTGACACCAGAAAACAAAGATATACTCTTATTCGATAATATACCCAATATAGATGAGACTCACCGATCGCACGATGCCTTTGCCAAGACACTACGCAATCACAATATTGAAGTCTTGTATGTACTAGACCTTCTTCATGAGACATTGGAGAAGAGTTCCGAAGCCAGAAAAATGCTTATCAATGGTATCGTTAAAAATCGTGGTCTTTCTGAAGAAGCATCTGTTGCTCTGGCTCAATTTCTTCATAACCTTACACCTGAACGATTGGCTCATACAGCGGTGGAAGGTCTTGCTTGCAACGAAGAGGAGCTGAGTGACAACGGAAGCACAAAACAAGTTCTCCTCGATGCTTGCTCATCGAAAGACGAGTTTTTAGTACCTCCTCTACCTAATCTATTGTTTACTCGAGATTCATTCTCGATCATTGGAAAATTCATCTTCATATGGCGCATGTCTAAGCCAGCTCGACGTAATGAACCACTAATTATGCGGGTTATTTTTACTTTTCATACAGCACATGCACATATTTCTCTGAAAGGTACTCAAGTGATTGACTGGGAAGCTCATGCAGACCCTATGGCAACCGTTGAAGGTGGTGATATTGCTTATCTTGGTCACGGAACCCTCCTCATTGGTATGGGTGAAAGAACGAATCGTGCCGGAATTGAAGCAATTGAACGCACTGGACTGTTTCATAGAGTAATTGCTATTCAATTGCCAGAAAATCGAGATTATATGCATTTGGACACCGTGATGAGTTCAGTCGGCCATCACTCATTTATTTGCCATAGCCATTTGGCTCAAGCTTTACCTGTTTACACTGTGCAGACACCAAAAGTAGAAGGTGCCAAGACAGAGTGGCTTCAACATGGAACAGATGTGCGTGCAGCGTTGAGACATCTCTTGGCTGATGTCGAGTTAAAATTTTATGATGCGGCCGACGAAAGCACATCAATTGCTGAACAACATGAGTGTCGTGATAATATGCTATGTCTTGGTGATCAAAGTGTGGTTACTTATGCAGGAGGTGATCCGGTTAAAGGTGTTATCAATCAAATGGAACATGATCCCCAGCGACCGTGCCATGTGGAAACATTTCCTTCTCAAGGTTTGATTGAAGGATGTGGTGGTGCTCATTGTATGACAAACGCTTTGCGTCGTTCACCAAATTCATGACTTAATTTTGTTTTGTGCACAAATCTACATATTTTGATTTAAGAAATCTTTAAACTGCTCTAAACTATATCGATAAACAGAACGTGCTTATAGGTGGTGATGCGAGTATGAGTATAGGTGTGAATGTGTCTTTTAACATTGTCCCAGCCATTATTTATCGTTATCTTTTTTCTTTCTATTTATATCTCTTTCTTTTGTATTTGTATTTTCTGTTTTCTCTCTTGTGATTGCGTATACAAACCTGTGCTTTGTATGTAAATGATACGTTTTTGGAAAAGAAAATATTTAACAAGGCGTAGTTTCATGAGCACTAACTATTCTTCTATATAAAAATCGTCATCTGTAGCGACTCTGGCACTCGACTATTGCAATCTTTTGATGAAAATTCAACACGATGTTGCTGTAACTTTTCATCTTATCCACAAGAGGAACAGAAACGACTCTAGTATTCTCATATTGACAAATCGACAGAGGGTTCAACATACTCCAGACAATAACGGGGTGTGGGTGTCGTTGTGGGTGTGGGTGGGTATGGGTGTGAGATTGGGTGTGGGTGTGGGTGTGGGTGTGGGTGGATGTCGGTGTGGGTGGTGTGGTTGGGTGTGGGTGTTAGTATTTTAATCTCTCACACCCACATCCACACCCAAATCGACAAGTCATAAACCGAGAAAAAACAAAAAACATTTTTTGAAGTGAATTTTTTCAAGATTTTTGTACTTTTAGACAGTTTTTTGGCATATTTGAAGAGAATAAACACCAACTATCATATATCTTTGTAAAGTATATATAAATAGACTTCTTCGTGGCTTGTTGAGTATCATTATATAAGTAGTTCTATATTCTACGACATAATCACATTGGACTTGGTCCAAGACATAGTACTACGATCAATTGTATATTGCCTCGATTCTCTTTTTTTTTTATATAAATTATATTCATAATAAACATTTCATGACTTTTAGATGACTAAAGCATTACTCATGGTTTGTAAAAATGGACATGATAGAAAGAAAGAGTGAGCGAATGAGCGAGCTAGAGACAAAGAGGACACACAAAAATAACGTCATAAATGGCAGATTGAGATAATCTATCTTTGTTGTACTGAATCATATGTTTTTTTCTTTCCGTTATATATGTCTTCTAGGAGATGACATGCGTTATTGAAAGAGTTACAAGCAAGTTTAAAACCTTATTTTCATGGACATGTGTTGTCTTTTAATATTTTATTTATTATAGGTTATTTACTTATTATGGTATTCAAATTTTATATTTCAACATAGTAATCTTATAAATAATGGTGAAGAAGAAAGCATATACGAAACGGTGAGTGTCACGAATGAAACTTCTATTTTCTATATGCCTAAGGGTGTGGGTGTGATCTTTAATAAAGTCCACAGCCACAGTCGCGGGCATACCCACCCACACCCAATGATTCATTGTGACAATAGTCGTCTCCACTCTGAATCAAAAACAAGTAATAGACAAACAAGAAAAGAAGCTGGTCGTGATGTACAAAAAAAATGTTGATAATGATCAAACAAATAATAATAATGCATTTGGTGATGATGATGATAAAACAATAGATAGTGATGAAGAAGCAGATGATGATTATAATGAAACAAATCCCGGTGATCAACCAACAACTCAAGATAATAAAACAATTGTTGATAATGATGAAAGCATTACCGATGATAATGATACAATATCAAGTAGTGATGATGAAACAAATCATATGGACAAGGACGAAACACTTCTTAATCCTGATACGAGAACAAATGAAGATGTTGAAAAGACTGATGCAGCTAGTGATGGTGAGTATGGTTACTACAATCCAAGAGACAAAAGAAGATGGAAAGAAGAAGAATAAGTAACATTTTATTATACAATTTTTTTATGTGATCTTTTTTGTTATATCTTAGTGTTGTAAATAAAGCCTTTGCTTGTCTATCAATTATTCGATTTCTCATTTTTTGCTATATGAACTTCGACTTTTTCTATAACAATTCGTAAAACTTACTAAAACCTCTGTGCATTTCATTAAAGCGGTTATTTTTCATGCAAAAACCTCAAAATTCATTTTTTCAAAAAAATCATGTCTTTCATGCAGCCGATTACAGAAATCATCAAAATTTTGAGACAAAAAAAGGGGGTGTTAGATCAAAAAAAATGTCAAATCTGAAAGATCTGAAGACGGGCTATCTTTCCATGCATTTATCTCAATTTCGAAATTTTTGACGAAAATTGACTTT